TCCTCTCATGTCTCCTCTGATGTCTCCTCTGATGTCTCCTCTAACCCCTCCTCCAGTTGAACCCCACAGTGAAAGTCTCTTACTGTGCGGCGGTGCTCTGAACCCATCTCAGAGTTACCTCCTCTAATGTCTCCTCTAATGTCTCCTCTGATGTCTCCTCTGATATCTCCTCTAATGTCTCCTCTCATGTCTCCTCTGATGTCTCCTCTAATCCCTCCTCCAGTTGAACCCCACAGTGAAAGTCTCTTACTGTGCGGCGGTGCTCTCAACCCATCTCAGCAGGGCCTTCTTGGCGCCGCCCTGGAAACGCTGCACCACCTTCCTCTTCATGGGTGGGGGGCTGCCGGCCTCACTGCTCTCCACTGAGGAACTGCTGGTGGAGAGGGGCTGCAGGGAGGTCAGGTTACTGGTCAGCTCCTCGATCTGAGGAGAGGGGGAGAGAGGAGAGAGGAGAGAGGAGGAGAGAGGAGAGAGGAGACCTGGTCAGCAACAGGAGACATCTTTCACAGAAGTTTTGGGGGTTTTTCGAAGAAATTTACTTTTTTCTGAATTCTGACGTTTTTCTCATATTTAGATTTTTTTCTCATATTTTCACTTTTTTCTAAGAATTGTGTTTTTCTCATATTTAGACTTTTTTCAGAATGTTCATTTTTCCAAGAGTTTAGTTTTTTTCTCAGATTTTACGATTTTTACTTTTCTCAGATGTTTCTCCCGGAACTCTAACCCTATACGAATTTCTACTTTTTCTCAAAGTGTTAATAAAAAAAACAAGAATTTCAGCTGATTTCTTTTACAGAATTGGTAATTTTACTTTTTCTTCTTGAAGTTGAATTCGATGCTTATACTTTTATTATATCTTAATTTCAATCAAATTCACTTTGTTTAAATAAAAGCTCAGTGATTGAACCCTCAGTATTCAGAGTTTCTAATAACCGTTTGACTCAGGTGTTTAATCTGTTTGTACCTGGAAGTAGAGGATGACGGTCCATATCAGCCCGAGGACGATGGACGGGCGTCCGTCTGCGATGTCGGTCGCGTGAATGTTCACCAGTTTGATCTGAAACACAAACAAAGAGGGTTATTCTGGGAACTTCACCATATGCACACATTATTATAACATATCCACCCTGAATATCCACCCTGAATATCCACCCTGAATATCCACCCTGAATATCCACCCTGTGTCACACAGTCCCAAACAAGCAAGCTGCTTTCTTTGTTTGCTCAAAATCTAACGGAAAACGTCAGAAATCTGAAAAAGGTTGGAAAAGTCCAAATATGAGAAATAAGTCAACATTCTTAGAAAAAAAGTCAGAATTGTTAGAAAAACGTTAAAAATCTGGAAAAAAAAAAATCTTAGAAAAAAGTCAAAATATGAGAAAAAAATCAAAATATGAGAAAAAATATTAAAAAATGTGAAAAAGGCCCAAATATATATTAAAAAAAATCTTAGAAAAAAGTCAAATTTCTTTGAATAACGTCAGAAATGGAAACGGCACACATGCACACATGATCATAACATGAATAACCAAGGTCAGAAGTGTCACACAGTCTCAAACATATCGCAAGCTGCTTTCTTTGTTTGCTCAAACTCATCAAAGTCCGGTCTTTGATGTCATAAAGAAGCCGGAGCAGGAAGCAGAGACAGCCACAGGTGAAGACAAAGCACTGCAGGCCTTGCATCAGAGAAGACACATCACAGTCACCAGAGCTCAAATGCATCAGCGTGCAGCGTCAGAGTAGAGAGCGATGCGTGCACACATCAGATGCAGAGAGAGAGAGCAAACTGACCGGAGATCCTCGATACAGAGACTGCAGCAGACAGGACACACCACAGGTGAGTCTACACACCTTTACACAGGAGTCATCTAGTCCTGTTCATAAACTCATATACCTGCTGCTTCTCACACAGGGCATCTAAACATAATACAACAGAGCTCCTTTGCACCCTTCATCTAAATCAGGGGTGTCAAACTCAAGGCCCGGGGGCCAAATCCGGACCGCGACCTAATTTTATGTGGCCCGCAAGAGCTTGCAAAGAATATAATATACAATACAATTGGTGTAATTGTTGAATATTTACTTTCAATTATTTGACCTAAACTTTTGCTTTCAGACGTAGTTATTTAGGAAGATATTATCAGAACTGATAATAATCCAATGCAGGGCCAACAATGTAATGCATTATTTAATATAGCCCGGGATGAAATTGAGTTTGACCTCCCTGATCTAAATAGTATTCCTTGATAACATTGTGTTAGGTGTCTTTATGTTACCTGTCTCTGTCTCAGAGTTAGTCATCTCAAAGCTGGAAGTGTTTGTTAGTATCTGAAATGATGCTACGTTAGCTAGCTAGCTTACAGCAGATCTGCAGTAACATCAGAAGGAGTCATGTGATCACATTGTTACAATAAGCCCAGTGTGAACCGAAAAAAGAATTGTTTGTTATTTGATGAAATATTGAACGGACTTCACTTTCACGACGCTCAAAACCTGATCAATAAATGGAATGTACCACCTGACAACAAGCCTACCGATTCATCGCTGAAAACAACAACACAAGCGGTCTCTATAAACACATCTTCAGCAAAGAGTCAAACCACCGAACAGAGGCTTCAGTGTCGGGCTGCAGCTCCTACGTTAGATTTAGGTCAAACCATTAAAACCATGTCAAAGTGATTCTGATTCTCACCTTCCTGCCTTCCAGGAATTTGAGCGCTGTGCCGATGTTGGAGACCCAGTGGATCCTCTTCAGCTGACGGCCCTGCTCACGGGGCTGCACACACACACACACACACATCAAGTTAGCATGGTTTAAAACATGGCCATTCAGTCGACGTAACGGCTTTATTTGGTGGAGTCTGGCCACTCGTCGCTCAGTGATCTAGTTAAAGAGTCCCGGGGGATTAAGCGTAAATTAACTGGTGAGTCCCAAAGCTGCTTTAAGAGGGAATCAGTTCAATCCTGAGCAGTAAAACAGGATGGATCCAGCCTCAGTGAGATCTGTGTGTGTGAGCTTGTTTTCATATCGTTGTGAGGACCAATTACAGCATCAAACCAGCGTTATGAGGACACTTCACTGAGAGCTGGTTAGAGGCAACATGAGCAGGATGTTCCTACAGCCCGGCGTACACTCGGACAGAAATAGTCCCTCTTCATCATCACCTCCACCCACTAGAAGTGTGCTTGTGTGTGTGTGTGTGTGTGTGTGTGTGTGTGTGTGTGTGTGTGTGTGTGTGTGTGTGTGTGTGTGTGTGTGTGTGTGTGTGTGTGTGTGTGATGCATTATGAATAAGATATATGACGATGTGATTCATATTGTTTACTGCACAGCCGAGGCTCAAACCTCAGATAGATGAGGTGTTGGAAAGAGGAGAGTGGTTGTGGGCTTTTGAGGAAGACTTGGTGATATTGAAAGAAACTAAACGGCACTCTGTGACAGCTGTTGGATTTATGAGAGGTAATCACATCCTAACGAACAACGCAAGATGAGGAGTAATCTGCCACGCCTGAAACACATCTGGCATCCTGCTGTTTGACATCAAAACAGATTCAACATTTTCTCTCCAGATCAACACTCGGGACACGGCTAGGCTTCAGCCTCTATAAAGTACAAGAGCTGTGACCTCCCTCTCTGTGACCTCCCTCTCTGTGACCTCCCTCTCTGTGACCTCCCTCTCTGAGACCTCCCCCTCTGTGACCTCTCCTCTGTGACCTCCCTCTGTGACCTCCCCTCTGTGACCTCTCCCTCTGTGACCTCTCCCTCTGTGACCTCTCCCTCTGTGACCTCCCTCTGTGACCTCTCCCTCTGTGACTGCGCTGTATCCTCAGAGCTGCAGCCGGAGAACACAGAGAGACTCAGATGTGTCTAAAGTTTGACCCCTTCCTCACCAGTCTTTGTCCGGACAGAACCTCCAGCAGAGCCAGAAGCTTCACCCCATCCTTGATGTCCTCGAACAGGTCGTTCACCTCCAGAGGCGGCTTGTACTGAAACACAGGAGGTCAGAAGAGACTCATGAGGATGAGGAATACTGTGATGAAGAACAGGTCATGATGCCTGCTGCTGGTTAACCTGAATCACTCATGCACACAACGAGATCCTCACTCCTTCTCAGAGAGGGACCTGAAACACACACACACACACACACACACACACACACACACACACACACACACACACACACACACACACACACACACACACACACAGTTGGGAACAACAGAGCTGTATAGCACAGCCGTCAGCTGGTAAGAAATGAGACTCAGGTGTGCTTGCTACGTTGCAGC